ATATTCTCTATATTACCAAATAATTAGTCAATCAATACAGGGACTTCAATAAAACCTCCTCATGTACCTTTCAAATAAAATACTTGTGCAAGTTGTTTGTCAGTCATACCATTTCTCCATTAAAGAGCTACTCTCACCTGAAAGACCAGTCATGAAATTAACAGTTAAAAAGCATTCGATAACACCTACTCCTATTTGCAAGATAGGCAGTTACAGAATGACAGTTAAATAATTGGTAAAAGTTTTATTTTTATATATCTATATATATAGACATATCTCAACACAATTTTGAACGTTTGTATTCTAGTGTTGATAAATTTAAGTTCTTTATCAAACCATGCCCTAAAACAATGCCTTACCTAAATGGCTTGAGGCATTTTCTACAGGAAAAAACTAACTACAGATTCACCATTGCTGCCTTTTTAGTAAAAAAATAGCAGTATTTTTAATGCTAGCACAAGTATTTCTAAATGAAGATCTAGAAACATGCTATACCAGCAATAAAAAAAAGCTTTTTGAAAAAACTGTTAGTAGTATGACTAACAGCAGTCACACTCCACCCAACACACCCACCCTTGCTAAATCTAAATACTCCAGATGACAAGCAACCTTTCCATACTACTTGCCAGCAGTTGTTTCAGTTTAGCCGCCTTCCTAGAATCAAAAAAGCATCTCAGATTCAACTTAAGAGATCTGAAAAAGCTACAAGCACTTACCACAGTATTAGTACAGAAGACATTATCATTCAAAGAAGGAGGAGCCAAAACCATTTTGTGTCTCAGTTTTAGGAAACCAATCCTGCTCATGAGTTCCAACCTCTCGGATGCTGACTCATGGATCACAGGAGTGGTAGATCAAGAGGAAAGGGAGGGAATCAGAACAGAACATAACTGCACATGGCCCTCAAAGAAAGATTAAAAAAGGGAAGGCTTGCAGTAGATAGCTGACATCTCCTACCAAAGAAGGCACACCTTTGCAGCAGGACAGGACAGGACAGGACAAGCATGCTCAGCTGTAGGTTTCAGTCTTCACTACTTCCTGCAGCCTTCCATGCTGGAAGGGGAGAGCTGCCAACCAGGCCATTGCTGAGAACAGAGAAAGACTAGAACACAGTGAAAAATTCATCTAGTACAGGAAGAGCTTGCTTTCCCTACATCAGAGGTTTGCGTTACCATGGCTACCAGGATACCTGCTGGCCACCACTGGATGTGGGTGGAATAATTTTGGTATAGACATTGTGTGAAGCACGAGCCCCTTGTCAAGATAGCACAGCAACCAGTAGGAGATTTTATGCATCACCTTCTTTTAGCAACTAGAAACTAGAAGGACAAAGGCAGATTAAGAAGTCTGAGGAGTGAGGTTTATGTGGAGGTACAAGGAGTTAGTTCTGAAGTGGGGCACTGAGTAGAGCAGAGCAAGAAGGGTGACAACCGCACAAACGCTGGCAATTCATCACACGTACTAGTGAAACTCTTGTCACAGGAAACAGGAACCCTACACAAGTCACAAGATTTTCACAAAGGCGAAAGTTTTACAATTTAACTACACCTGTAACTGCAGAAACAGCTCCTTTGGAAAGCATGGACTCTTAAATATGTTAAGGAATCAACTGATTCATAAAGCTAACAAATTTCAAAATTATGTTCAAGAAAAGGTAACTCAGTTTGACTGATTTAGGAAAAAAAGAAAGAACAAACCTAGGTGGCAGCATACAAGGAAGCATACAGGTATTTTCAGCACAATCCAAAGAAGTACTCACTTGTATGTGAGCCAGAACACTTAATCAAGAAGCAAATTCAGTTACTTCCAAACCAGTCACCTTTCAATTCATGTCTCCTAAACCAATCTAGGACAAATTTACCTCAAAGTTGTTTATTTCCTTATAGACTTGCTTCTTCCTATTCTCACATGAGCAATACTAGACGCCAAAAAAAAGTAACTAAGAGGAGCAAATAAACCACTGAAGATTATCTGCCACACAATTACTATTGCATTATACACATCCAGCTTCCTGCAGCCATAACTCCCAGGTCATGTAGAACAGGGTCCAGCAGCCTCCACACTGATGACACATGTCTCTTGAGCTCCCACTACAGTGCAGTACAATTTTCCTATGAAGAGCATCTAGAATTCTGCTTGCACAGAAATATATTTCTGGGCTTTGATACTCGCTTGATAGCTCAAGCATGTCCTTACACATTAGTTTTACATTATTCCAAAATTACTGCAAATTCATCTTAAAGATACCCCTGAGAAATCACCTTGAATCTAACAAAGCCAATTTCTACATCTCTCTCTTTCCCATCTTCAATACAGGTGTCTCACTTTAAAAACCATACTTTATGTTAAAAAATTCCTCAAAATGTCTCTTAAGGACCCCTTGTGAGTATTTTTCCTCATAAGAAGTAAACGAAATGCACACACAGTTTAAATGCTTTCTGCAATTTATTAGCTCTGATGTGAATAAAGGGGTTTTCACATTTTCATTTCAGCTTATCTTACAAACTGACAAGCTTACTAACCACAGCACAGACAGGCACAAGGCTAAGTTCTTTGTTACCTCTGCAACTATGTGGTAAAATACTGCATATGGATCACTCCATTCATAGATGTACCTCACAGACTCTCAAAATTGAGTATCTCAAATACCTCTACATATACAGGGCCCATAGCATAGTGCAGATGACCATCCTCATCATGGTGACCCACATAATGGTTGTAGAAGTTACTGCACTGACTTCCCTTACCTCAGCATAACACTTTGCATGATATGCCCCAGCCAAGCCCTCAGTCCTTCCCCAAGTACAGCAGCACCCATAAATACTGCATTTCTTTCTCTTAAACAACACAGAAGAAAAAAAATAAACAACAAAGAATAAAAAAAATAAAGTCCCCACTTACCAGCACCGTGGTGCAGATGGACCTGAGCTCAGACTCCACCTTCTCCCGATAGTCCTTGATAAGCTGCATCTTCTTGTCGCTGGTGTCTGTCTTCTGCTCGATGCTGGAGATGACCCTCCAGGCCGAGCGCCGCCCCCCCACCACGTTCTTGTAGGCCACGGAGAGCAGGTTGCGCTCCTCGTTGGACAGCTCGGCGCCCTGCTCCGTTACCGCCTTCATGCAGGTGGCCATGTCGTCGTAGCGCTCGGCTTGCTCAGCCAGCTTGGCTTTCTGGATCAACTCGGTCTTATCCATGGTGGCTGGCAATGGGACAAGAGCAGTGTGGTAGCAGGAGGAGGAGAAGCTGGGGATGTCACACTACCAACACGACAACGCGCCTCAAAACCTGGCAAAAGAAGACAGTAACCATGATGCCGGGAATGAAATACCACCGAACAAGATCCTGTGGCACCCCTCGCAAACCAACAAAAAACGAGGATCGCTTCGAGCCTTGCCTCCCCTTCCCCACCTACAGGTGCTTCTCCTGGAGGCATGGGCTGCAGCATCCAGTCCTTCCACGCAGGGCTATGGGGAGCGGCACTGGTCCCAAGGGTCCACCCCTCGGGAAACCACGACCTAGAAACCCAGCCGGGGAAGGCACGCTCGGTGCCAGCCAAGGGACGGCAGCCTGCCGACCAGGCACTGGAAATAGCTGGTTTTCCATCAGAAACTCCTCACCCCGCTTTCCCTCCCTGCCCCACGTGAGCACATTAAGATGCTGCCGAACAGGGACTCGAGGAAGGATCCCTCGTCACCACCCAGCCCGGGGCCCTCGCCCAAATCCCTGCCCCCGTGTGCCACCAGCGCCGCGGGCGAGCGCGGGAGCCGGGCAGACAAGAACGCCGGTACTGGCGGGAAGAAAATACATAATAAAAGCAGCGAGACGTGCTCGTCCCCGGGAGAGCATGGCGGGGGTTAAACCACCGCGGGACCCGCCTCCCTCGGGGCAAGCGAGGCTGGGGCGGGGGCCCGGGACGCTTCGCCTCCCCCCGGCGGGGCGCGGCGGGCCCGGGCCTCCCTGCCCCAGCGGCCGCAGCGCCGACCCCGGCCCGGTGGGCGCCCCGCGCAGCCGGCGGGGAGCACGGCAGCTCCTGGTGCGCGGCAGCGGGCGCGGCTGCGGCTGTGGCCCCAGCATCCACGTCCCAAGGGCCGGCGGGGGGAGCTGGGGTGGCCGGTGGAGCCCCAGCGGCGGCGGGGCGGGAAGAGGAAGAGGCGGCGGGTGCGAAATGGCGGCGCTGGCTGCGCCTCCCGCTCCCCGGGGCCGCCGAGCGCTCCACGCCGCGATCACAAAATGGAGGACACGGGCGGGAGGAGGCGGCGGAGCAGGGCCCATCCCGCCGGTGACCGCGGCGCCGCGCTCACCTGTGTCGGCCGGGCTGTGGGGCCGGGCCGCGCCCGGTCGGTGCCGCGCTCGGGGCTGTGGCGAAGAGAAAGAGCCGCTCTCGTCTCGGCCGAGCCAGCGCTGAAGGGCGTTGGCGCGCGCACCGACCCGCTGCGCGGCCCGCGCCCACGCGGCCAATCGCGGCCCGGCCTGGGCGCCCGGCCCCGCCCCGCGCACCCCGCCGGCCAATGGGAGCGGAGCGCGCCGCCGCGGGGGCGAGCGCGGGCAGGGCGCGAGCGCGGCCGGGCCCGTGGGCTGCGGCTGGGGCCACGGGGTTTCCTCCAATGAGATCCAGGGTGGCGTGACGTCACTGTCGCCATGGTGACGCCGCTACAACCCCCCCCCCCTCCCCGCGCCCTCCCCCGCCGCTCCCCCCGGCACCGGGAACGGGAACGGGGGAGGTGGCGGGAGGGGGAACGGAGCTCCCGGGGGGAGGCCCAGGCCGAGGCGGTGCCCGCGCGGCGGCGGCGGAGGAGGGGGGGGTTCAGGCGGTGCCCACACCCCGGCGGCCGCTGTTCCGCCCGCGGCGGCCGCGCCCTCAGGCCGGCGCTCCTGCAGAGCCCGGGGCGGGAGCTCCCGCAGGAGCGGGCGGCGAGCACGGCCCTGCCCCGCTGCCCCTGCGGCGGCTCGGGCGGGGCACAACCGGGAGCGGCCTCGAGGCCCTTTCGGAGCCGGGCCGGGCAAAGTCCGGGCGCTGCCGCCGCCGCGGGCCGACGGGGTGGCGGGGTCCGTACAGACACTGCGGGGCTTCGTATCCCCGAGTTCATGTTCCCGAGGCCCCAAGCAGAGGGAGGCAGCATTTCCTATAATCAGCTATCAATGAATTTGCTTGTTTTCCTCCTCTTGATTCCACCTTAATTCTCAAGAGGTCAGAGCATGCTATGACATACGATAGCAGCATGTTACCTATGGATAAAGGTGAGGCGCCTATTGCTATATATGTGTCCAAAACGCTGGCCTAGTCCATGCATGACTTTGTCTGCACTCACACAGCCCAAGCCCCAGAGGATGTGTAAGGGCACCGTGGGTTTGTGCTGTTTGTCCTGACATGCAGATTCCAGGCGTGGATCAAATGCATCTGGTGTATCAGGGCTCAGGCGAGTTCAGGTTCACCAGTGTTTGTGCAGTACCGACTCTGTGTGAAGTGATGAAATTTCTCACCTTTGGTTTCAGCATCACCAAATATAGTCACACTGAGGAACTTCAGCATCCAGATGGGATGATGAATTCTCTGAATCAACCTCAGGATGTTACTGTCTCAACTCATAAAGGTTTTGGGCTGTGTTTGGACTAGGAGTGGGACTATGTACATAGAAATTTGACCTATGCCGTGAACAAGCCACCCTTTGTCATTTGAGTTTGGAAAGCATTTATTCCTTTATTAAAAAAAAAAAAACCAACAACTATTGATAGCACCCTGTTCAAATTTAATGAAACTCTTTCAGAAACTGCTAAGGAAATGTATTGCTTTCCCCCAGAAGTTACCTCTTGGCAACTTGCTACAGTTTTAGGTAGCCGGTTTATTCTTCCTTGTCAGTAGGATACACTCTTACTTTCACTAGTCCCTAACAATTATTTTCATTTACATGAAGTAAAGACCAAAATTGACCAATTGTGCAATACCTTTTTTGATTAACATCATGTCTCCATCAGAGATAAAACTAACCATTCCACTTATAAGGCCCGGGTGATCGTGTTTTATTTGAAGAAAGATGTCGAATCTAATTGAGGCTGCTTCCTTCAACTGATTGCCCTCAGGAAAGGGGAAGATACTATGAACTAGCCTCATAACATTTAGTTCCTGTCTCTCTCCCACCTACTTAGAGGTGGGGGAAATGGAGAACGATCTTGAAAGTTGGGAAGTGCTGAGCAGAGCAGTCTGTGTGCACAGAGCTGTGTGGTAGATCCAGACTTAACCACACGCATGATGCAGAGTCTGATATGTGTGTGCAGAGCAGCTGTGCGGCCTGTGTGTGTCTGGCTTCAGACCCCCTGTGTGCTGCTTGCTTTTCAGGCTTGGGTCCTATGGGTTTATGTGCTGTAATACTGCACTACAATATGATTTTTAATCGCATAGCCATAAGCTTGTTTTCCCATAAGAACCCTATTGCTAAGTAGGAATTATGTTCTTTGGGGAGCTTTTATGAGAGGGGCCTTGAAGAATTTCTTGTGTTTATTTTAGCAAAATGAATGTTTAAGAGAAGATTTGATGTTGTCTCAAACAGAGAATAAATGGCATGGATATAGAATTGTTGTTTAAATGGAAGACAAATGTGTGTAATATGGACATTAATGACTTTGGATTGTGAATTAGAATATGTGGAATTTTCAGAGCTATGAAGCCGTGAGACAGTTTCCCTGTGCTGAGGGCAGGAAGCCCATCCGCTTTGAAAGCTGAGCCCAGTCAATTTATAAAAGTGTTTATGAGATAGAGTTGCCTGAGATAGCAGAAGATGAAACTCCAGAAGCTTTCCAATTCTGTGTTTATTTTATTGCTTATTCCATGTATACTGTAATGTACAGCTTACTGCATAACATTATCCTTCACTGAATTTTAAAAAAATTAATTTCCTTTAGAGCATTTCAGGAGTGCTATCATCTTACTGACTGTTAATGACTTTACCCTTGTCACCACTATGAAATGGTTGGCATTATCTTGTCTTGTGTCCAGGAAATGAAAAATATCAACACTTCTGGTTACCTATGTGAAGAAATATGACCTTAATTTCACAAGAGGTAAATAAATACTAAATCAAAGACCTTCATTTCTAGGGTGGTGAATGTTTTTTGTTACTCTGCACGTACTGAAAGTTCACCTCCCACTGACTTCAGATGCACCTATTCACATTCAGCATCTTAGTAGCTCATACCACAAATTACTCAACTGGGGTGTGGGAGAAAAATGGAGACTATATATAATGCAAATTCCTCAGACTTACACGTAAACTTTATGACAGAGTTAGAATATAGTTTTCTAGAGGCTCTTTTATTTGCTGTAAGACTCTTCTTTCTTTTTCCCAGCAGAATCAGCTCCATCCATCACATGCTTTTCATCTCTCTAGCAAAGGAGTTCGAGATGGTACCGACAGCAGCTTCCTTCCCTACTGTCTGTACAACAGGTGACAGTGGCATCTCCCAAAGCAAACATATAACACTTTGAATTAAGGTAAATGCACAAATGAAGACCCCTCAAAAGCAGATTTTTGTCATGGGATTTACCCAGGCTGTCACTGAACAACACTATGAGTGAGCTTTTTGGACATGCAGCATACCCCTGTACTATTCAAAATAGCCCTGTCGTGGGTAGCAACAGAAAAACTTACTCATTTTGTGTCCTGCCTTGAGTGGGATGGAGATTCTTTACAACTAGTCTCGTGTCTGTTCACTTAATGGTGAGAGAACATATTTCATGTTTATTAAGACCCTGTGGTTAAGGACTTTTCTCTTTGACTTTTCTCTTTTCTCTTTGGCTCCCATGCTAGTTCCTGCCATCTTTGCCTTATTATCAGCCCCCTAATTTACATTGCTATCCCATCTCCTCCCCTTCTGATTCCTGCCTTCTGCTCAGCTTCTGCCCATATGCTCCCCATCATGTTCTCCTGCTGTCATTCCTTCTCTATCTGTACCCTCTGCCCTTCTTTTGTTGTTCCAACTTCTAGTAAAGCTTCTGGGCAGAGAAAATGGCTTGCTTAGGAGGACTGGACATTTAGCAGTCTTATGTGAGAACCGGAGTCTTGAGGAAATTCTCCAGGCAAATTTTACGAAGTCATCTGAGGATACTAAAATTGAGTTTTCTCATTACATTTTCCATATTTGGATAGTTTTCCATGAAACTGGGAAAACACTTAACTTCCAGCTGGCCAACTGAGTTGAAAGGCACTACTCTGGTGGTTGTAGGTGTTGGAATTCTTTGATAAAGTGGTAATAAAGTGTGTTAGCCTGGAAAAAAAATGGAATTGCCTTTCATTTTCTCTGTGAGAAACAGCTAAACTGTTCTAACTGAAACATGAAAAACATTCTCAGTGTGTTCATATAGACTGATCTGTATTTTAGCCTTTAGAGAGGAGCTAAACCAATGGTCATGATTTTTCTAGATAAAACTTAAATTTACTTAAATTTGTTTATCTCTCACTTGGTTGGGGGACTTCGGAATGAAAGGATAAGAAAATCTTTTGTTACACTTGTATTTTATGCTGATATTGTAAAGATGCTAGAGGGTGGCTTGAATGCTCTTATATAAAAAAGGGAAAGTCACCCATGTCAGAGGCTAAAGCATCATCATTGTCCAGTTAAGTGACAAATAAATACGAGTGAGTGGGATCCAAGCTCTTTAAACACTATTCTGATTCCATATTGTATCTGTACTGTGCTTTGAGAAGGCCACGGAACTTCTTGAATTTTTGAAAGTACTTGCATGGCTTGTTCATTACTGGGATAAACTTACTGCTTCAGGGAGGACAAGCCTCTGAAGATGTTGATGAACGTGTGGCTAATGGTGGGTGCTGTTTTATGCAAATAGTTTTCTTCTGCTGGGAGAAGGGGAATCAAGGAATACTTGGGTGGTACCAAACCTCACTTTTGCTGCTGAGTGCCAGTTGTCTGGTTTAACTGGCTGCAGGGTAAGTATATCACCATGCTGGGAGTAGTTTGGTCTTTGCTGGTAAAGGATGATACTGATCCATATTGGTATCTGCTGCAGGGTAAATGCTGCTGTAGCCTGATATGCTGAAGCAGCTACTGATCATGGCTGATAGTAGAGTCTCAGCTTGACACTTTTTCTTCCCTCCTACCATTACAGCAGTTGATGTTATAGTCCACTCCTTTTTCTGGGGGTGCAATATATATCACTATATTGAACGTGACAAGGTTTCCCTGCATCCTTTCTGTGGCATGTGGTACTGAAAAGTGGAACAGGCTCTGGGGAGCAGAGGCAAATCTGTTACCTGGATGAGCAATCTCCCTACCTCAGAGAGCTGTCCTTTCCTCCTGGTGGCCTGTGAGGGAGGGAGGATGCTGGCTAAACAGAACCATTCCCTTTTTCATGCTGTTGGCATAAAAATTACAAGTTTGTCAGTTCTGGTCCTAAGCAGGTCCCCAGTGAATCTCTTGTGATGTGGATCCAAAGCCCTGGGCCCTCACTGTCCTGAAATTCCGATAGACACTCATGATGGAGCCCCATATGGAATTCCACTCCAGGAATACCCTGCACTGGTCTAGCTGGACACAAAGCTTTTGCAGATCTCTCTTGGGCGCCTCTCGTTTTCACTAGCTCTGTCTGAGACTTGAAAATGAGAGGACAGAGAAGCCAGCTGGAGCTAGATGGTATCCCTCAAAGTTGAGGTGTATCTTTTTTTATGGAAATGAACCTAATAGCCTTTTAATGGCTTTTGTTCGATTAAATGCAACTTGCTCTGCCAAAGCATGATAAAGGACTCCCTTTTGCATCAAAAAACAGGAGTGGCAAAAGTCACTGAGATTGTCAAGTAAATTTTATCCTCCTATCAGGAGGCAACAGTAGGGCCCCTAGAATTAAGACAAATACAGCTAATGTCCTTTTAATGGTGATTTGATTATTCTTTCATTACAAGTAAGTAGTTCCCTTTTCTAATTATATGGCTTGCTTTTATCTAAGAAAAATTACCCAATTTATGCAAGTGGACCATTAAAGTTGCTTATCTATGAACAGTTTATTGTGGTGCTATGAGATTGCTGGTTTCAGAAAATGTCTATATTGCAATACATATGTATAGATTTTTGATTCTTCTGCTGTTTTGCTAATGGTCATGACAAATGAGAAAGCAGGTAGTGAGTGTGGATGTGCAAGGCAAAAATGAAATGCAGAGGGCAAAGAGCACAAATCTTGCACCCATTTAGCATGTCTGTGAGGGAGTGAGAAGTATTGGAGGGAAAGGGAGCACTATGGATTAAGATGCACTGGTACTTGGAAAGGCTTCAGGTTTAGTAGAGGTTTAGCAAATTCAGGGAAAGCTCTGTCTGTGTTTCATCTCTGCACTTCTTCGTTTTTATCTCTATCTTCTTGTCCTTCCCCTGCAACTGCTGTATGAGCACGTTATCCAAATGGAAGAAGGGACACCAGTCAACCAAATGACATAATGGGGGTGGGAGAGGGGACATTGGAGGTGTAGTCAGGAGTATAATGTGAAAAAGCCTCAGGTCGTGAAGGGAGGTCACTGCAGGTCAGTCTTGTTAGTTTGGTGTGTAGCTGTGGTGGGCTGGAGATGCCAGCAAAGTTGGTGTATCAATTAACAGTTGGTATATCAATTAACAGTTGGAAAAACAGACAAGCATTTGATCTGAAAGCACTCATGTAGTTTCTGTGTATAATCTAATCGTACTTTTTTTCTTCTGTGTCATATAATATTAAGACTGATGGATATCTGAAGGTCAAGTGTTCATCTGTATGGGGAAACTGACTGGTAAAGGAGTTGTGAATAGTTGTACCTGTACACTGTAGGTAAGCTGGGGTAATTCCTCACATGGAAACTCCATTCTAGAAAGAAAGACACTTGTATTCTGAAATACAGTGCCTGCTAGAGGAGCAATAACAACAAACTATGATTATCAGACTATTCCCAGCATACACAAACCATAAGAATAAAGTAAGGAAAGGGAGAGGACAAAAAAGATAGAGATGGAAAGAAGGTAGTCAAGTGGTTAACCAGAGATACCTATGGGAAGATGTGATATAAATATCCTTATTCATGTGAACTTTATAGGCTGAAATTAGTCATGTAGTAAGCCTCAGAAATTTGTTTAAAAGTGAGATATTTTTTCAAATTCATGCTCTTCCATCAGCTCGACATGGCAATATGATGTGTATTTATGGAATTTTTTAATACAATTTCTAATGACAAGGTTCTTGGTTATGAGTTTAATTAGGGCTCACTACTGTCTTTCATGTACAAAGATCAGAAATCTGATAAATGTCTAGCTAGTTAAGATTTTGTACCAGATAAACCATTAATAATGATTTATATAGAGAATAAAATAATTCTTCAGTGTAAGAAGGGGATAGCATAAGCATACACATACATATTTTAGGCTGAAATGATCTTTGACAAGCCAAGAACAGGACACTACAGATGCATCTTTAATAATTTAATTAATTTTGGTAACATACTGTGTATTTGCTTTACTGAAATATTTTATCACCGCTGTACTTATCTGCTATCATTATAAGCAAGATGCTTAAAGATGGCCTGTACTAATGCAAATTGTATCACTTAATTACTTGCATTAATGTTGTAGGAAGCCTCAGATACACAGAATGAGTGTCCGTGGAGGTACAAGCAAGGAAAAAAATCTTCAGACTAGGGAAAGAAGTATCTGGGTGATGGGTTGCCCCCTGCATTAGTGGGGTGAGCTTACCAATGGGAGGTTTTACTTTCTGGCAAAAGATAAATTAGAGAGGCATTCCCTCTTTTCATTTCTACTGCTAACGAGAGAGTAGAGCTTTCTGTTGAGGTAAAGAACTACACTTTAAACATATGGTCCCAAAAAGAGCATGATGAAAACTCAGGTAGTTCCACTCGCCCTGCCATGGGCAGGGTCATCTTTCATTAGACCTGGTTGCTTTATAGTCGTATCCAACCTGATCTTGAACACTTCCATAACTTCACTGGACAACTGTACCAGTGCCTCAATACCTACAAAAAATGTCTTCTGTATGTCTAATCTAAATCTACTCTCAGTTTAAAACCATTGCCCC